CAGGTGGAATCTCCTTTCTTTCCTGTAGTTTGAAGCCATGTCTCCATTGCGTCCTACTCTCCAGGGCAGCAGAAAACAAACCTGCTCCCTCCTCCCTATGACTTCCCCTCACATCTTGATACATGGCCCTCATCATGTCTCCCAGTGGGTTAAACCCTTGTGCCAGCAGGACTGAAGACCGACAGGTTGGAGGTTTGAATCTAGGGAGAGCGTGGATGAGCTCCCTCTGTCAGCTCCAGCTCCCCATGCGGGGACATGAGAGAAGCCTCCCACAAGGATGGTAAAACATTAAAATATCTGGGTGTCCCCTGGGCAACGTCCTTGCAGATGGCCAATTCTCTCACACCAGGAGCAACTTGCAGTTTCTCAAGTAGCTTCTGACACACACACAAAAAAATCATGTCTCCCCTCAGACTTCTCTTCTGAGGCTAAACATGCCCAGCTCTTTAAGCTGCTCCTAGAATCAAAGAATCAGAGTTGGAAGAGACCTCCTGGGCCATCCAGTCCAACCCCATTCTGCCAAGAAGCAGGAATATTGCATTCAAATCACCCCTGACAGATGGCCATCCAGCCTCTGTTTAAAAGCTTCCAAAGAAGGAGCCTCCACCACACTCCAGGGCAGAGAGTTCCACTGCTGAACGGCTCTCACAGTCAGGAAGTTCTTCCTCATGTTCAGATGGAATCTCCTCTCTTGTAGTTTGAAGCCATGTCTCCATTGCGTCCTAGTCTACAGGGAAACAGAAAACAAGCTTGCTCCCTCCTCCCTGTGGCTTCCTCTCACATATTTATACATGGCCCTCATCATATCTCCTCTCAGCCTTCTCTTCTTCAGGCTAAAGACGCCCAGCTCCTTAAGCCGCTCCTCATAGGGCTTGTTCTCCAGACCCTTGACCATTTTAATCGCCCTCCTCTGGACATATTCCAGCTTGCCAATATCTCTCTTGAATTGTGGTGCCCAGAATTGGACACAATATTCCAGGTGTGGTCTAACCAAAGCGGAATAGAGCATGGGTAGCATGACTTCCCTGGATCTAGACACTAGGCTCCTATTGATGCAGGCCAAAATCCCATTGCCTTTTTTTGCCGCCACATCACATTGTTGGCTCATGTTTAACTTGCTGTCCACGAGGACTCCAAGACCTTTTTCACACGTACTGCTCTCGAGCAAGTCGTCCCCCATTTTGTATCTTTGCATTTTGTTTTTCCTCATAGGGCTTGTCCTCCAGACCCTTGATCCTTTGAGTCACCCTCATGCTCTGGACACATTCCAGCTTAGAGTCAACATCTCCCTTCCACTGTGATGGCCAGAATTGGACACAGTGTGATTCCAGGTTGGTCTGACCCAGACAGAATAGAATAAAGGAGTAGCATGACCGTGCCCATGACTGAACCCTGCTGATGGCATTCCACTGGTCACTTTACAAGGTAGTCCTTGTAAAACTATCGCAAAATGTGCTGTTGCAGGATGTCCCACACAAACAACATTTTTGCAGTTTCCCCCTGACATTAAGTCCAGTTGGGTCCGACTCTGCAGGTTGGTGCTCATCTCCATTTCTAAGCTGAAGAACCTGCGTTGTCTGTAGACACCCCCAAGGTCATGTAGCCAGCATGACTGCATGGAGTGCTATTACCTTCCCAATGGAGCGGTACCTATTGATCTACTCACATTTGCAAGTTTTCGCACTACTAGGTTGGCAGAAGCTGGGGCTAACAACAGGAGCTCAAAACACTATGCTACACTAAATTAAGTGTAATTAAGTGACATTAAGTCCAGTCGTGTCTGCCTCTGTGGGGTGGTGCTCATCTCCATTTCTAAGCCAAAGAACCTGCATTGTCTGTAGACACCCCCAAGGTCATGTAGCCAGCATGACTGCATGGAGTGCTATTACCTTCCCACCAGAGCGGTACCTATTGATCTACTCACATTTGCATGTTTTCGTACTGCTAGGTTGGCAGAAGCTGGGGCTAACAGCAGGAGCTCAAAACGCTATGCTACACTAAATTAAGTGTAATTAAGTGACATTAAGTCCAGTCGTGTCTGACTCTGTGGGGTGGTGCTCATCTCCATTTCTAAGCCAAAGAACCTGCGTTATCCATAGACACCTCCAAGGTCATGTGGCCAGCTGGAGCAGTACCTATTGATCTACTCACATTTGCAAGTTTTCATACTGCTAGGTTGGAAGAAGCTGGGGCTAACAGCAGAAGCTCACACCGCTCCCCGGATCTGAACCTGTGACCTTTTGGTCAGCACATTCAGCAGCTCAGCGTTTTAACCCACTGTGCCATTGGGGGCTCTTTTTGCTGTTTAATAAAACCATTTCCCCATGTTTTTATGATAGAACCAATTAGGAAATGACATTGATAACTCAGGAACAAAAATTGTGCTACATAGTGTAGTAAGAGTCATAACAACAACCATAGCAACAATAACAACAACACTAATACTAACAATAACAGGCCAGGATGGGCAATGAGGGAGGATTGGAAAGGGAAGGAAGGGGTGCAAGGCTTAAGGCGGGGGAAGGAAAGGAGTCCTATACAGGAAAGGAGACCTTTTTGGACTCTGATGCAACTGGGTGGAATCTGGGAGTTGGAGTCCAAAAAGTGTGGCTTTCCCAAAACTCGGGAGGAGGAGTTAATCTCTCCCAGCTGTGCTGGAATACAAACAACCCAAATGCAAACCAGTTCTTGGGGCCCAGGGCTCTTTCCTCTCCTCCCACACAGGACTAACTGGCCTAGCAGCCCCTGAGTCTTGGCTTTGGGGTGCCCCTTGTTCACCCCCAAACCCAACAGGCAGGGGCACTTTTGCCTCTCCACATTTCCCATAGAAAACCTGCCTAAACATCTCTAACACATATTGGCCTGGAAGGATTTTGGGGGAGAGAGAAGAGAGAGCTCTGGAGACATTGATATTTCGGGGACTACAAACCCCAGAATCCCCCCTTGGAGGGTTGCAGTCCCAAAAACGAACATTCCTTGGCTTTGTTTTTAAACTGAACTACTATGATTTTTAACCAGGCTAGGAGAGAGGAAAAGCTCAGGAACAATTGATATTTTGTGGGACTACATAGCCCAGAATCCCTTAACTGCTGGTAAGGAAGCATAATGGGAGCACTAGTCCCATATAAATAAATCAACTTTCCTTTACTTTCCTGCAAGGATCTAAACAGGTCTAAGAGACAGAAAAGCTCTGAAACAAGTAAGAGATACCATTGGGACTACAAACCCCAAAATCTCTGGTAAGGAAGCATTATGGGAGTTCTAGTCCCAAAGAAATAAACTTTCCTTGCCTTTTAAAAAAAGAAACAGGATCTAAATAAGTCTAGGAGACAGAAAAGCCCTGGAATAAGTGATACCTTTGAGACTACAAATCCCAGAATCCCCAAAATAAATAACAAAAATAAAGCTTTTTTCCCCTGACCTTTTAAAAAAATAATTTCTGTAATTAATGTTGGGAGATTTTGGGGACTACAAATCACATAATTCCCCATCTACTGGTAAGAAAGCATCATGGGACTTGTAGTCCAAAAATAACCCTTTCCCCCTCCTAATATTGGTCTGATAGGATTGAAGCAAAGCTATGGAGGAGAAAAGATCTGGAGGTAGAAAAACCCTGGAATAAGTAATATTTTTGGGATTACAAATCCCAAAATCCCCCCAACATTAATTACAAAAATAAAGTTTTTTCTTCCCTGACGTTTTTAAAAATAGATCTGGAATAATAGATATTTTAGGACTACAAATCCTATAATTCCCTACCTGCTGGAAAGGACGCATCATGGGACTTGTAGTCCAAAAAAAACCCTTTTCTCCCTCCTAATATTGGTCGGATAGGATTGAAGCAAAGCTATGGAGGAGAAAAGCTCTGGAGACAGAAAAGCCCTGGAATAAGTATTATCGTTGGGACTACAAATCCCAAAATTCCCCCAACATTAATTACAAAAATAAAGTTTTTTTCCTGACCCTTAAAAAAAACTAGAATAATGGATTTTTGGAGGGAACTACAAATCCCAAAATTCCCCCAACATTAATTACAAAAATAAAGTTTTTTTCTTCCCTGGCCCCTTTTAAAAATAGATCTAGTATAATAGTTTGTTTTTTTTTGGGGGGGGACTACAAATCCCAAAATTCCCCCAACATTAATTAATTACAAAAATAAAGTTTTTCTTCCCTGATGTTTTTTTTAATAGGTCTGGAATAATAGATATTTTAGGACTAAAAAAATCCCATAATTCCCCACCTGCTGGTAAGACTGCATCATGGGACTTGTAGTCCTAAAATAAACTTTTTTCCCCTCCTAATATTGGTCTGATATGATTGAAGCGAAGCTATGAAGAGCTCCGAAAACAGAAAAGCCCTAGAATAAGTAATATCGTTGGGACTACAAATCCCAGAATTCCCCGCCTGCTGGTAAGGACGCATCATGGGACTTGTAGTCTAAGCATAAACTTTCCCCCTTCTAATATTGGTCTGATAGGATTGATGCAAAGGTATGGAGGAGAAAAGCTCTGAAAACAGAAAAAACCTGGAATAAGTAATATCGTTGGGACTACAAATCCCAAAATTCCGCACCTGCTGGTAAGGACGCATCATGTGACTTGTAGTCCAAAAATGAACCCCCTCCTAATATTCGTCTGATAGGATTGAAGCAAAGCTATGGAGGAGAAAAGGTCTGGAGACAGAAAGGTCCTGGAATAACTAATATCTTTGGGCCTACAAATCCCAAAATCCCCCAACTGCTGGTAAGAACGCATCATGGGACTTGTAGTCCAAAAATAAACCTTTCCCCCTCCTAATATTGGTCTGATATGATTGAAGCAAAGCTATGGAGGAGAAAAGCCCTGGAGATCCATCTATCTATGGACTACAAAACCCATAATCCCCAGAAACACAATGGCCAAACAAAGAGAATGGTCTTCCAAAGGATGCCCGGGCAAGAAGAAGCAAAGGGAGTCAATCCGGAGGAAGAGAAAGCAAAGCCGGGATGGTCTCGCATTTACCTTTGGAGCCTCCGAAGTGAAGAAAGGAAGGAGAAAGGGAGGGATGGATGGATGAATGGATGGAGGAGCCGCCCTTCTCTTCCTTTCCTCCTCTTCCTGAGGCTGCAGCAGCTCCAGATCGGGGCCACTCCCGTGTAGAATGGACACGGGACGGCCGGAAAGAGCGCCTGCACGTGTGAACGCGCCGCCCCTCGACACGCAAGTCTTTGTTCTGCAGCAGAGGCGGAGGAGAGGCGGGCAGGAAGGGGATGATCCACACAAGGGGAGGGGAGGGCTCGTTTGCAGGGGATACTGGGAGTTAGAGTCCTAGCCAACTTCAGCTTTCCCTTCAGGTGTTTTGGACTACAACTCCCACAATTCCTAACAGCCGGTAGGCTGTTAGGAATTGTGGGAGTTGTAGTCCAAAACACCTGGAGGGAAAGCTGAAGTTGGCCCATGCCTGCACTTCAGGATATTGGTATATTATTATTATTATTATTATTATTATTATTATTATTATTATTATTATTATTGCTGTTGTTGTTATTGTATTTAAACTCCCAGAAGCCCCTCCAGCATAGCTAATCTATGATTTCCCCCAAATGTTGGCCTTCCATATTATTATATTTCACCCCCCAGAAGTTCCTCCCAATCAGGGATACTGGGACATGCGATTCAACTTCAGCCTCTGCCAGTAAACCCTACACTGTGATTGTGAACTCCATCTCCCAGAAGCCTTTGCCGCCTCCTCCAATGCCGAGGCATGCTGGGAGTCGTAGGCAGCCGCTTCTGGGCGAGTCCCCTTTGTTTACTCTGCGGGGGAGGAAAGGGAAGCTGCCAAATTTAAAGGGACAGGCAGCCCTTAATTCCCAGATATCATAGAATCATAGAATCAAAGAGTTGGAAGAGACCTCATGGGCCATCCAGTCCAACCCCATTCTGCCAAGAAGCAGGAATATTGCATTCAAATCACCCCTGACAGATGGCCATCCACCTCTGTTTAAAAGCTTCCAAAGAAGGAGCCTCCACCACACTTCGGGGCAGAGAGTTCCACTGCTGAACGGCTCTCACAGTCAGGAAGTTCTTCCTCATGTTCAGATGGAATCTCCTTTCTTGTAGTTTGAAGCCATTGTTCCTCGTCCTAGTCTCCAGGGAAGCAGAAAACAAGCTTGCTCCCTCCTCCCTATGACTTCCTCTCACATATTTATACATGGCTATCATGTCTCCTCTCAGCCTTCTCTTCTTCAGGCTAAACATGCCCAGCTCTTTAAGCCGCTCCTCATAGGGCTTGTTGTCCAGACCCTGGATCATTTTAGTCGCCCTCCTCTGGACACTTTCCAGCTTGTCAACATCTCCCTTAAATTGCGGTGCTCAGAATTGGACACAATATTCCAGGTGTGGTCTAACCAAAGCGGAATAGAGCATGGGGAGCAGGACTTCCCTAGATCTAGACACTAGGCTCCTATTGATGCAGGCCAACATCCCATTGGCTTTTTTTGCCACCACATCACATTGTTGGCTCATGTTTGCTCATGTTTAAATATGGGGAGGGGGTTGTATCTTCCTAACACATGTACATGGAATGCTGCTTAAGAGTCCCAATTTATTGTGAGTAAGTGAAGTTTATTGATTAGCCCACTGACCCTATCAACAGTAAAGGACAAAAACAAGAAAATACACAAATAGGTACGAATCACTGCCCCAAAACTCCTGTAATAGAAAGAAACATTAAACACACAATTAAAACTTGCCAATTTGTTGTGGAAAAAGTCAGACACAGATCTGGGCGATTCCCACAATCGGGCTATTATTATTATTATTATTATTATTATTATTATTATTATTACTTTGCAGACAGGTGCCCAAACACACGTGTAAAATATTGGTGGATTCACATGAGATACATAGCCTCCATGGAGAGAAAAAGTGAGACATAAATAAACATAATAACAATATTATATATTATATAATATTGTTATAATATATAACAATATTATATAATATATATAATATATTATGTATATTATATATAATATATATAATATACATTATATATATATATATAATGTATATATAATATATACATTATATATTATATATAATGTATATTATATTATAATAATGCATTCTAATACTAGTAAAAGATACATAGCTGCTTTGAGTCTCCTTGGGGCGAGAAAAAGGGTACACACAAACATAATAATAATAATAATAATAATAATAATAATAATAATAATAATAATAATAATGGTGGTCAGTAGAAACATTCACACGTAGCTCCAACAGACAAGAGTCCTTTGTCCCATCCTGGTCATTCCACAGATATAATAAACCCTTTTTCCTAGTTCCAACAGACCTCTCTACCTCTGAGGATGCTTGCCATAGATGCAGGTGAAATGTCAGGAGAGAATGCCTCTAGAAAATGGCAATATAGCCCAGAAAAACCTACAACAACCCAGTGATTCTGGCCATGAAAGCCTTCGACTATACAATAATAATAATAATATAAAGGTAAAGGTAAAGGTTTTCCCCTGACATGAAGTCCAGTCGTGTCCAACTCTGGGATGTGGTGCTCATCTCCATTTCTAAGCCAAAGAGCCGGCGTTGTCCGTAGACACCTCCAAGGTCATGTGGTCAGCATGACTGCATGGAGTGCCGTTACCTTCCCGCTGGAGTGGTACCTATTGATCTACTCACATTTGCATGTTTTCAAACTGCTAGGTTGGCAGAAGCTGTGGCTAACAGCGGAAGCTCACGCCGCTCCCCGGATTTGAACCTGCAACTTTTTGATCAACAAGCTCAGCAGTGCTTTAACCCACTGCGCCACTGGGTGCTCCCAATTATTTATATATATATGGGGGACACACACATTTATACCAGTTAAAGTGGGGTCAAACTCCATTCATTCTCCAGTGTAGATGCTCCGAGATTCTACAATTTACGGTCTATTTTGGACTGAGGTTTTATGGTGTTTTTTTAATCGTCCCATTATCTCTTCTCGTTATTTCGTGGGGCTTTTCCGCCTCTCTTGCTTTTACGGCAGATGTGTCATTTTTATGACCGCTCTGGGCACTTTTATGGGAACACAGCATATAAAAGTATTCTTTGCCACCCTAAAATGCTAATAACAATAATACTAAAAACCATCATGTTGATCTCAAGTCAGTTGAAGAAACACAGAAAATGCACTTGTTGTTCAAGAAACTGGAACCAAAAAGGACAAATGCTATGGAGGCTTTGGGGTCCTGTTTTCCAGAGTTGGATGACGACTCCCTGGATTCTTCCATCTCATTGGGTGACAAGCCAAACAATTACTAATGTCCAATCAATGTCCAGGTTTATGGTGAGGATTCCTCATCAGATGATGGCGTCAAGAGCTGGCACCGTCCATTCAAATGCTGTATGTTGTTATTGTTATTGCTTATTGTGCATTTTTTGTTTTTGAATTTTTATTTTATTTTAACTGTTTTGTATTGATTATTTGTTATCGCCTTTGTTTATTGATGTGCCGTGGGCTTGGCCTCATGTAAGCCGCACCGAGTCCCTTGGGGAGATGGTAGCGGGGTACAAATAAAGTATTATTATTATTATTATTATTATTATTATTATTATTATTATTCCAATGTGGTCGGACTTTGGTGCAAACAGCTCCAATTCCAGGGCGATCCCACTCTGCTCTTGATGAACACACCATCCAGCAAGTGGAGGTCACCAGTTTGGAAAATGGCCATGTAACCATTCACCACCTAGCTCAAAATGTCAAGATTAGTGTGGGGTCCATGGACAAAACCACCCAAAACCATCTTCCCATGCATAAGGGATCTGCTCACTGGATCTCCCAGCTGCTCACACCTTTCCAGGAGCAAGAACAAGTTGGATGCTCTCAGGCTCTTTTGACAATGATGTGCCATAGAAACCAGGAGGACTTTGTCAACAGGATGAAAGCTGGGTCCATCACTCTGATCCTGAGACTCAAGTCCAGTCAATGCAATGGAAGCATCTTGACTCTCCACCTCCAAAGAAGGCATGGGCCCAACTCTTGGCAGGCAAGGCCATGCTCACAAGATTTTGGGACTAGCACAGAGTAGGAAATAAAGCCCGACTGCTCATTGGAGGGAAAGATACTAGAGACAAAGTTGAAGTACTTTGGCCACATCATGAGGATACAGGAAAGCCTAGAGAAGACAATTATGCTGGGGAAAGTGGAAGGCAAAAGGAAGAGGGGCCGACCAAGGGCAAGATGGATGGATGGCATCCTTGAAGTGACTGGACTGACCTTGAGGGAGCTGGGGGTGGTAACGGCCGACAGGGAGCTCTGGCATGGGCTGGTCCATGAGGTCACGAAGAGTCGGAGACGACTGAACGAATGAACAACAACAACAACAACACAGAGTAGGATGGATGGATTTCCTAGCAAAGGATACTATGATCCCTGGGGCAGACTAGGCTTCACTGCTGTGGAAATTGCAGGAGGCCAACCAAACCAAGAGACAATGTGGCATGCTCACCAAAGTGTCACGGAGCCCCCAGTGGCACAGTGGGTTAAACCCTTGTGCCGGCAGGACTGAAGACCGACAGGGGAGAGCACGGATGAGCTACCTCTATCAGCTCCAGCTCCTCATGCGGGGACATGAGAGAAGCCTCCCACAAGGATAAAACATTTTAAAAAAACATTTTAAAAAACATCCGGGCATCCCCTGGGCAACGTCCTTGCAGACGGCCAATTCTCTCACACCAGAAGCGACTTGCAGTTTCTCAAGTCACCCCTGACAAAAAAAAGGTGTCTACCTTCTACAAGGCAATGCACCAGTTCACAACTCACATGTTGTTTGCCCATATGGAAGAAGCATGCTCCTGTGGCTTTGAAATTTGACTACATTCTCCTTATTCACCCAACCTCGCACCATTGGACTTCCAGCTCTTTCCAAAAATGGAAGTTATTTTTTGAAGGGCAGGCTTTTCTCAGATGATAAGACTGATTTCCAAAATCACAACATGGCCTTTGGAGCATCCTGTCTTCTACAAGCGAGGTGTTTAGAGGGTTGTTGTAGGTTTTTTCGGGCTATATGGCCATGGTCTAGAGGCATTCTCTCCTGATGTTTCGCCTGCATCTATGGCAAGCATCCTCAGAGGTAGTGAGGTCTGTTGGAACTAGGAAAAAGGGATTATATATTATGTGGAATGACCAGGGTGGGACAAAGGACTCTTGTCTGTTGGAGCTAGGTGTGAATGTTTCAACTGACCACCTTGATTAGCATTTGATGGCCTGGCTGTGCCTGGAGCAATCTTTTGTTGAGAGGTGATTAGATGTCCTTGTTTGTTTCCTCTCTGTTGTTTTGCTGTTGTAATTTTAGAGTTTTTTAATACTGGTAGCCAGATTTTGTTCATTTTCATGGTTTCCTCCTTTCTGTTGAGTTTGTCCACATGCTTGTGGATTTCAATGGCTTCTCTGTGTAGTCTGTGGTGTTTAGAGTTGCTTCAAAAGAGGGGAGACAGGTATGTCCCTAGATGGCACCAATGAAGAGAAGGACTCAGAACTGGGCCAAGTTTCATTGCTTTCCACCCACAGGAAGAGGGTCTAGGGAAATCATTCAGGAACGCACCTCATAGCCTTGAGCCGAAGCAGTGAAAGTGGTACTAAACAGCATCCATTTGACAGTGAAGATCCCTCAATTTTTCCCCTAACATTTCATAAGATGCCTCCACAAAGAAACACTCAAGCGTTGAAGAAATCTGGTTCATTTATTAAATAAATTTCAATCCTAATTTATTTATTTATCATGTCAGTATCAACCAGACAATTGAAGACATTGATTCCCCCCCCCCCCCCAAAGTGATTGTAAAGTTATACTTTGCAAAAATCAGTTTGCTTTGGTTTGATGTGTTTTTTTTCACACCCTTCGTCTTTAAGTATTTAAAATATTTTATTTTAATCTTTTTAAAAAATAAAGTAGAGATAAGTAAATTTCATTGTTTAGAGATGAGAGCCAGGGGAGGAGAGGCAAGGAGAAAAAACACCCCCAAATCAATCTCTGATCAGGGCGAATAGGCTGCACACAAGGAGCACAAATCTGAATTCTCATCGATTTTGGAGAAAGATTGAGACATTTTTGCAGTCCCTCACATTCTCTCCAAACATTTAACTCAAGGAAAATATCAGTGGTGTTGGTGGTGTTAAGTTAAAAGACATTTTCACAAAAACACTAGATTTTGTGCAAATGTATGCCTTTTATATATAAAAATGTGTGTAAAAATATGCATCTTGCACAACCCAAATGGTGTGCATGTGTGACTGCCTCCTATGGAATTGTGGGATATGTAGTTTGGGTTGAATCACCAAAATTTTGTGGCAGAGTTCTATATACCCTTCCCTGAACTACAAATCCCAGGATGTGGCAAGTTAAAGTGGACTTGCTCTACAATGGCAAAATTACAGCATGTAACCACATTTGAAAAATGTTCTGTTCCTGGTTTGAAAGTGTTATTTCCTGTTTAGTTGTGCACTCCTTACTATGAAAGGAGTCGTTCTACTCCAGGAACTTCATTTTTGTGGCTGTCACAAACTATGTTGCATTAGTTGAAACTCTATGAGATACTCACTGAAAAATTGTAGCAAAATGTGCAGTAGGATGTCCCTCCGGAAAAAGCAAAGCTTTTGCAGTTTAATAAAGATTTCCCATGTTTTTTTTTTATGATCGAACCCATAAGGAATGACATTTATATCCCAGGAACAAAAATCATCTTGCATTGAACAGTGACAGATCCAGACTGCGGAACGCTGGGATATGTAGTTTGGGATGGAGTATCCCTCTTGTGGCCAATAGTCCTAAATGACTCTCTCCAATCAACAAATCCCAGGAGGCCATAGGATCTTGCCTTGGCAGTTGAAGGACACGATGAACTGGGCAATTTTCACAACACTTTAAACAGTCGAATAAACTTGGGATTTGTAGTTTTATGAGTGGTTCTGATTGCTTTTTTGCAAAGTACACATCCCAGGAATTAACAGCAGCCAGCCACTGAAGTAAAATCACAATAATTTTACAAAGAGTGCCTTAGAGCAGGCATGGGCAAACTTTGGCCCTCCAGGTGTTTTGGACTCCAACTCCCACCATTCCTAAAAGCCTCAGGACCCTTCCTTTTCCCCCTCAGCTGCTTAAGCTGAGTGCTGGGCCCATAACCAACGTTAGGGTCTGTTGCCTGTGTGGAGTGCAAGGAAGCTTTTTCTACAGCAGGCCTGGGCAAACTTGGGCCCTCCAGGTGTTTTGGACTCCAACTCCCATCATTCCTAACAGACTCAGGCCCTTTCCTTTTTGTCCTCAGCCACTTAAAGCCAGTTTTAAACCAGAGAAGGAGGGAATTTCCTGGCCTCGGCTCAAGCCAGAGAAGCCAGTTTTAAACCAGAGAAGGAGGGAATTTCCTGGCCTTAGCTCAAGCCAGAGAAGCCAGTTTTAATCCAGAAAAAGAGGGAATTTCCTGGTCTCAGCTCAAGCCAGAGAAGGAGGGAATTTCCTAGCCTTGGCTCAAGCCAGAGAAGCCAGTTGTAAAGCCAGAGAAGCCAGTTGTAAAACCAGAGAAGCCAGTTTTAAACCAGAGAAGGGGGGAATTTCCTGGCCTCGGCTCAAGCCAGAGAAGCCAGTTTTAAAGTCCAAAACACCTGGAGGGCCCAAGTTTGCCCAGGCCTGACTTAGAGGAACTCAAAGGAGGTCCCCAGGTCTGTGCTAGAAGGGAAAAGGGGCTCGATTGGGATTTGTAGTTCAGGTGGGGAAGGTCAGGGAACCATGGCGAGCCAGCCAAGGATGAGAAGGCCCCCTCCGTACGGAGCCGCTTTGGTGAAGGTCGGGTCTCCGGTTAAAGCGTGGTAATAGAAGGTCCCGCAAAACATCCCCATCCCTAAGGACAGGATGCTCCCAGCCTGGAAGACAAGGGAAATATGGACATTTGAAAGCATGAACATGATAATAATAATACTCCTAAATACACAATGTAAGGCCTGAAAATACCCTATTTAATCTAATGATCACCTTTATTGTTTTGCTAACTGACCTCACGAAAATCAGGGTGCGTTATGAAGCAAAAGGGGAAAGTACGTTCAGGAGCTGTGTCTGGAGCTCCTATTTGAAGGATGTCACCTCTCCTTAAATGGCCAGGGCTCAATGCTTTGGGGTGGAGCACCCAGTGGCAGTGGGACTGCAGACTGGCAGGTTGGAGGTTCGGATCCGGGGAGAGTGCGGATGAGCTCCCTCTGTCAGCTCCAGCTCCCCATACGAGAAGCCTCCCACAAGGATGGTAAAACATCAACAAACATATGGGCACCCCCTGGGTAGTGTTCTTGCAGACAGCCAATTCTCTCACACCAGAAGTGACTTGCAGTTTCTCAAGTTGCTCCTGACATGACAAAAAAAAGTGGGAGTTGTAGTTTACTGGGATTTATAATTCACGTGCAATCAAAGAGCTTTCTGAACACCACAGAATGCTCTGGGATCCTGGGATTTGTAGTTCGGTGAGACATCCACAACCTTTGACAGAGAAGGCTCAAGGCCTTGCAAAACTACAGGCCCCGTGATTCCATAGCATTGAACAAAGGCAATTTAAGTGGATTCATTCTGCTGCAGAGATGCACCCCAAGGTTTTCCTTTCCATTGCTGGAAGCTTTTGCAGGCAGCAATTGTAATGTGTACCTTTTTTGACCAAATTACAAAGAGTGCACTTTCTGCCACTGTGCATTGCATTCGTAACAAATACCTTTTTTGGTTTCAGGGTTTTGGAAATGGAGGTGTGCATTGCATTCAACGATGCACTGGATGGGTAAATACAGTAGTTTGAAATCGAAATTCAGGGTATACTTAGCCAATTTCAACCTATGCATAATTTTGTTGTGTTTTAATCTTAGGCCTATGTCTTTTCATAGATAGGTTATAATGGTCTTATGTTTTGATCTATACATTTAGGAGCTGCTGGTGGCACAATGGGTTAAACCCTTGTGCCGGCAGGACTCAAGACTGACAGGTTGGAGGTTCGAATCTGGGGAGAGAGTGGCTGAGCTCCCTCTGTCAGCTCCAGCTTCCCATGCAGGGACATGAGAGAAGCCTCCCACAAGGATGGCAAAACATCAACAAACATCCAGGCAATGTCCCCATGGCAACATCCTTGCAGACGGCCAATTCTCCCACACCAGAAGCAACTTGAAGTTTCTCAAGTTGCTCCTGACACACACACACACACACACACACACACACAAACATATGCCTTCATCAATAATATAGAAAGAATGCAGTTTGGCACCCTTCAAATGGAAATGGTTCAGAGCTATGGACATGGCTCAATATTTATTTATAATAATGATAAAATAATAATAAAACTTTATTTATATACCGTTCTATCTCCCCGAGGGGACTCAGAGCGGTTCCCAGGTAAATATCACAAAACATACAAAGTAAAAACAACATAACCTTAAGATTAACAAAACAAAATATGCATTAAAATTGTTGCCATAACACACATATATTAAAAGTAATCCTGCCTGTTCATTGTTTATTTACAGTATTTATATATTCCGCCCTTCTCACCGTGAAGGGGACTCAGGATAGAACACAGAAACACATATGCGGCAAACATTCAATGCCATTATACACTGTCAAGACAGACAGCTGTACATAGATAGAGGTATATATAGGCTTTTCCCATCTTCAGTATCTTGGAGGCTAGTGCTCGGTTTTGGCCACAGGGGGTGCTGTTGCTCTATCTTCTCTGCTGAAGAGCTTTGTTTGTAAACTTCCTCGTTGATCAAATTGCCAACATTTTTCTGGCTTTTCCTTAAGGATGCCTTAAATACCTCCCTGCGTTAAAGCAGTACCTATTTATCTACTCACATTTGCTTTTGAACTGCTAAGTAGGCGAAAGGCCAAGAGCTCACCCTTCAAACTCCCAACCTTTTGATTGGCAAGATTTACTGCAGCTGGTGGTTACCCTTTTATGAAGCTCAGCCCTTTTATAAGTAAAGGTAAAGGTTTCCCCTTGACATTAAGTCTAGTCATGTCCGACTCTGGGGGTTGGTGCTCATCTCCATTTCTAAGCTGAAGAGCCAGCATTGTCCATAGACACCTCCAAGGTCATGTGGCCAGCATGACTGCATGGAGTGCCATTACCTTCCCACCAGAGTGGTACCTATTGATCTACTCACATTTGCATGTTTTTGAACTGCTAGGTTGTCAGAAGCTGGGGCTAACAGCGAGAGCTCATGCCGCTCTCTGGATTCAAACCTGTGACCTTTCGGTCAGCAAGTTCAGCAGCTCAGCGGTTTAACCCACTGTGCCGCTGGGGGCTCCTGCCCTTTTATAATACACGCACACACGCACACACACGCACGCAAATATATATCTCCCCGCTTCCCTCCCCCCTAATTTTCCTACTTGACAGATGCAACTGTCTCTCGGGTTGCAAAGGTTGACAACAAGCTACACAATTGGTCAGAAGTTCACTCTGACCCGGGCTGGCTTCAAACTCATGACCTTTCGGTCAGAAGTGATCTGAATGCAGCTGACATTCAGCCAGCTGCGCCATAGTCCCGGTGCATATTTGTGTGTGCTTGCATATATATATATATGTGTGTGTGTGTGTGTGTGTGTGTGTGTATGTATGTGTGTGTTTGTCTGTATGTGTGCATGTGTATATGTATAGGAATGTATGTGTATAGATATATATGGTTATTTTGGGGTAGTTTAAAGTCCATTCTGCTGGGGTTTTTTGTGTGTTTTTAGGGGTGATGGACACATGTAGGACTATTAGGTGTATTGTGTCAAAATTTCATGTCAGTCCATCCAGTGGTTTCTGAGTTATGTTTCTTCCACAAACGAATATTACATTTATATATATATAGATACACACACACATATACATATATACACACATTCACATGAAGACAAAATAACAGCCACTAAAATATACCGGTCCTGCTCTGGGAAAAGAGTTGAAATATAGCCTGCCGCAGAGATATTGACATCCCATTAAAATTCACAATTAAGGAGCCTTAAAAGGCACCGATGAAAACGACCAGATACTTCTCCTCCGCATTACAAGAAATAATGGCACCGTATCAGTGATGGAGGGCCTATAATCTCCTGCTAATTACAGCCCTATATCTGGCGAGGTTTGGTCGGAGTGGAAATATACGGCGCAAGTTATTCCCGTTGGGGATACGGAGGCAGCGGAACAAGAGGAAGGCACGGCCCCGCATTTAGGCTCTCTCCATTAAGGCTCCGTAAATGTGGAGGAAAGGATGAAAATGACTATCTAGACCAGGTATGGGCAAACGTGGGGCCACCTGGTGTTTTGGACTCCAACTCCCACCATTCCTAACAGCCTCAGGCCCCTTCCTTTCCCCCCTCAGCCGCTTAAGCCTCCCAACAGATGGTCATCCAATAATAATAATAATAATAATAATAATAATAATAATAATAATAATAATGTGTTGTCAAAGGCTTTCATGGCCAGAATCCACTGGGTTGCTGTGAGTTTTCTGGGCTGTCTGACCATGTTCCAGAAGCATTATCTCCTGACATTTCGCCCACATCTGTGGCAGGCATCCTCAGAGGTTGTGAGGTCTGTTGGAGACTAGGCAAGTCGGGTTTCTATATATCCCTGTGGAATAAATTCCAGGATGGGAGAAACTCTCGTCTGTTGGAGGCAAGTGTGAATTTTGCAGTTGGCCACCTTGATTAGCATTGAATGGCCTTGCAGCTTCAAAGCCTGGCTGCTTCCTGCCTGGAGGAAGAGTTATTTCTCCCACCCTAGACATTATTCCACAGATATATGTTGGAGGTAGGTGTGAATGTTGCCATTGGCCACCTTGATTAGCATTCAATGGCCTTGCAGATTCAAAGCCTGGATGCTCCTTGCCTGTGGGAATTCGGTCTCCCACCCTAGACATTATTCCACAGATATATATTTTGGAGGCAGGTGTGAATGTTGCCATTGGCCACCTTGATTAGCATTCAATGGCCTTGCAGCTACAAAGCCTGGCTGCTCCCTGCCTGTGGGAAGAATTCTGTTTCCCACCCTAGACATTATTCCACAGATATATATGTTGGTGGCCATTGTGAATGTTGCAATTGGCCACCTTGATTAGCACTGAGTGGCCTTGGAGCTTCAAGGTCTGACTGCTTACTGCCAGTTTATATACCTGTGGAATAATATCCAGGGTGGGAGAAAGAACTCTTGTCTGTTGGGGGCAAAGGTGAATGTTGCCATTGGCCACCTTGATTAGCACTTAATGGCCTTGCAGCTTCAAAGCCTGGCTGCTTCCTGCCTGGGGGAAGAGTTCTTTCTCCCAGCCTAGACATCATTCCACAGACAGATAGATAGATAGATATGTTGGAGGCAGGTGTGAATGTCGCCATTGGCCACCTTGATTAGCACTGAATAGCCTTGCAGCTTCAAGGCCTGGCTGCTTCCTGGCTGGGGGAAGAGTTCTTTCTCCCACCCTGGACATCATTCCACAGATATATAATCCCCACTTGCATAGTTTCCAACAGACCTCACAACCTCTGAGGATACCTGCCATAGATGTGGGTGAAACGTCAGGAGAGAATGCTTCTGGAACAGACAGCCCGGAAAACTCACAGCAACCTAATATGGCCAACTTTCCCCTCCAATCCCAGTATCCCAGCCCTATGCACTCACCATCATGGGATACCGGCAATGAGGGACAGCCAACAGCGCCAGGCTGTGCAAGAAGTGATACTTGTTTGCGGTTTCATAGAGCTGGAAAAGACAGATACATTATCCTTTTTTTAAAAATTGCCACTAAGTAGTTAATATGGAAAACACAAGAATGGCCATCAGACTGGAAAAAAAAAATCAACTTCTATCCTCATACCAAAAAAGGGAAATGCTAAAGATTTCTCAACCTTCCGTACAATGGCCCTTATTTCTCCTGCCAGGAAGGGAATGCTCAAGATCCTGCAAGGAAGACTCCAGCAAGACACGGAGAGAGTGTTGCCAGATGGACAAGTTGGGTTCAGAAAAGGCAGAGGAACCAGAGACCCAATGGGCAATATCCCAATGCTGGAGAATGGAGAAAGGCAGTGAAACTCTATTTCTGTGTTATTGACTATTCTAAAGCCTTTGACTGTGTGGATCATAACAAATTGTGGCAAGTTCTTGGTGATATGTATGGGGAGACCATGCCACTTTGTCTCTCTCCTGAGGAATCTGTCTAAGGACCAAGTTGCAACAGTCAGAACTGACCCTGGAACAACAGACTGGTCAAGACTGGGAAAGGAGTATGGTAGGGTTTGTATCCTCTCCCCCAACCTACTCAACTTGTACACAGAACACATCACGCAATGTGCGGGGCTTGATGAATGCAAGGCTGGGGTGAAAATGGCTGGAAGAAACATTCACAACCTTAGGTATGCAGATGACACCACTTTGATGGCCAAAAGCAAGGAGGAGCCGAGGAGCCTTCTAACGAAGGGGAAAGAAGAAAGTGCAAAAACTGGGTTGCAGTTAAACGTAAAAAAACTCCAAGATTATGGCAACAAGAATTATTGTCAACTGGGAAATAGAGGGAGAAAACATGGAGGCAATGACAGACTTTGTATTTCTAGGCGCAAAGATGACTGCAGATGCAGACTGTGGCCAGGAAATCAGGAGACGCTTACTTCTTGGGAGGAGAGCAATGTCCAGTCTCGATAAAATAGTAAAGAGTAGAGACATCACACTGGCAACAAAGATCCACATAGTCAAAGCCATGGCATTCCCTGTAGTCACCTACGGATGTGAGAGCTGGACCTTCGGGAAGGCTGAGCGAAGGAAGAGAGAGGCTTTTGAGCTGTGGTGTTGGAGGAAAGTTCTGAGAGTGCCTTGGACTGCAAGAAGATCCAACCAGTCCATCCTCCAGGAAATAAAGCCCGGCTGCTCATTGGAGGGAAGGAGACTAGAGACAAAGCTGAAGTCCTTTGGCCACATCAGGAGGAGACAGGAAAGCCTAGAGAAGACAATTATGCTGGGGAAAAGGGGAGGAAAAAGGAAGAGGGGCCGAACAAGGGCAAGATGGATGGATGGCATCCTTGAAGTGATTGAACTGACTTTGAAGGAGCTGGGGGTGGTGACGGCCGACAGGGAGCTCTGGTGTGGGATGGTCCATGAGGTCGCGAAGAGTCGGAGACGACTGAACGAATGAACCACAACTAAGTAGTTAAGAGACATCTCTTTCGCAAGGCAGGCGCCCTGGGTTCCAATCCTTGGCACCACAATTTTAGAGCTCGAGAACCACATCCAAGAGCCATTGCAAATCTGCATATATATAGACAGAGTGGACAGCTATCAGTGGTTAGGAATTGTGGGAGTTGAAGTCCAAAACACCTGGAGGGAGGGCCAACGTTTGCCATGCCTGCTGCAAGTAAAGAAATGGCTTTAGGGCATTTCCAGTGCTACCATTTCCTTTCCATAACAGGAAACAAGACCATTTCCCCTCTCAACCCTGAGTTCAAACCTGTTCAGCTGGAGAAACTGGAAGTAAAATTGCAAAAATAAAGGAAGGATCCTCTTACCTCTTTTAAGTAATCATCTCGGTCACTCCTTCGCAAACCTAAACAAGAAGAAAAAGAGATATGAATCTGTGTTCTCAAAGGCTTTCGGGGCAGGAATCACTGGGTTGCTGTGCATTTTCCAGGCTGTCTGGCCATGCTCCAGAAGCATTCTCTCCTGACATTTTGCCCAAATATATGGCAGGCATCCTCAGAGGTTGTGAGGTCTGTTGGAAACGAAGTAAATGAAGTTTATATATTCCTGTGGAATGATGTCTAGGGTGAAAGAAAGAACTCTTATCTGCTTGAGTGGGAATGTTGCAATTGGCCATTTTGATTTGCATTGAATGGCCTTGCAGCTTCAAGCCTGGCTGATTGTTGCCTGGGGGGATCCTTGCTTGGGAGGTGTTAGCTGGCCCTGATTGTTTCATGTAAGGAATTCCCCTGCTTTTTGGATGTTCCTCTATTTGCTGTCCTGGTTTTAGAGGGATTTTTTAAATACTGGGAGCCATATTTTGTTCATTTTCATTGTTTCCTCCTTTCTGTTCTCCAAACAAGCCCTATGAGGAGTGGCTTAAAGAGCTGGGCATGTTTAGCCTGAAGAAGAGAAGGCTGAGAGGAGATATGATAGCCATGTATAAATATGTGAGGAGAAGCCACAGGGAGGAGGGAGTGAGCTTGTTTTCTGCTTCCTTGGAGACTAGGATGCAATGGAGCCATGGCTTCAAACTACGAGAAAGAAGATTCCATCTGAACATTAGGAAGAACTTTCTGACTGTGAGAGCTGTTCAGCAGTGGAACTCTCTGCCCCAGAGTGTGTTGGAGGCTCCTTCTTTGGAGGCTTTGAAACAGAGGCTGGGCGTCCATCTGTCGGGGGTGCTTTGAATGCGATTTTCCAGCTTCTTGGCAGAATGGGGTTGGACTGGGTGGCCCACAAGCTCTCTCCCAACTTCTATTATTCTATGATTCTAGGTGTTTTGGACTGCAACTCCCAGCATTCCTGACAGCCTCAGGCCCTTTCCTTTTCCCCCTCAGCCGCTTAAGCAGCTGAGGGGGAAAAGGAAGGGGCCGGAGGCTGTCAGGAATGGTGGGAGTTGCAGTCCAAAACACCTGGAGGGCCCAAGTTGGCCCAGGCCTGGTCTACACTGTAAGATGAATGCAGTTTGACTCCTTTTAGGCCCATTTAGAACAGTGTAGATCCATCCTTAATTTGCCATAGCTCAATGCTATGGAATCCAGCCTTAATGCTATGGAACCTTGGGAGTTGTAGTTTCCAAGGTCTTTGGCCTCCTTTTCCCTGTCTCGCCATACTACAACTCCCAGGCATTGTTTTAAAGCGGTGTCAAACTGCATTAATACTACAGACTAGCTGTATTATTATTATTATTATTATTATTATTATTATTATGTCTATTAGGGGATGACACTTTGCAGGGAGGCAAAGGATAGGATTTCCACTGAGTTGTAGCACCCAGCCTTAATCTGCCCCAGCTCAATGCTATGGAATTCAGCCTTAATGCTATGGAACCTTGGGAGTTGTAGTTTCCAAGGTCTTTGGCCTCCTTTTCCGTCTCGCCATACTACAACTCCCAGGCATTGTGTCAAACTGCATTAATGCTACAGAGTAGCTGCATTATTATTATTATTATTATTATTATTATTATTATATCTATTAGGGGTTGACACTTTGCAGGGAGGCAAAGGATAGGATTTCCACTGAGTTGTAGCACTTAAAGAGGTATCAAACCGCATTAATTCCACAGTGCAAATGCACCCGGGCCTTCTCTGCGTTGGCCCCGCTCACCGTGCGCTCCATAGGCGGCGGCTCCGACCGCAGCCCCGCCGCTTAAGGCTCCCAGCCGCCGGAAAAACACTCCTGAGACCCCCGCGACCATTCTCGGCTCCGGCTTGAATGAACCACCAGGCGCTCCTTAGCCCGCAGCGCGTCTTAGCCAATCAGCGCCCGCGGCGGTTGCTTAATATGCAGACTCCGCCTTTTAGAACGGAGCCTTGGAGCCTATCAGCGCCGTTCCCAGTTCTGAGTTCTATGCCTCCCTCCCTGCTCCGTTAGAGCGCCGCCGAATGACCAATCAGCGCTCCCGTTAACTCTTTAACATGCAGTCCCCGCCCTACGGTGGCGCTTCTCAGCCAATGAGCGCCTCCCTCTTGCAGCAATAGCTTATTTTTCTTCCTCATCGGTGGCCAATGGCGACGTGGGAGAGCAAGGATTGGAGTTGGGAGCCGTCCAATCGGAAACATTCCTTTCGTCCCGCCTCTTGTCAATTCTTTGGCTCCGCCTCAGTCGGCGGAGGAGGAAACCGATTGGTGGAGGAGGAAGCCAATCACAGTATGGCAGCCAATCAAATTGAGCTCCAGCCGCAAAGTTAAAAATACTCCATACGCGTGCCTATCTTCAGATCAATACGATAGAGGCCGAAGCCTGGCCAGCATTGGCTCTGCCAAAAGGACGTTGGATCTCGCCTCTCTTGAGTCTAGTCTTTAGATTGGGAACAGGGAAAAATTGGGAACCTCTATTAGGATGTTTACGGTAGCTTGGCAGCCTTGCCTTTCTCTTGGGCGCCCCTAGTGGACAACAAGTTAAACATGAGTGTGGTGGAGGCTCCTATTTTGGAAGCTTTTAAGCAGAGGCTGGATGGCCATCTGTCAGGGGTGATTTGAATGCAATATTCCTGCTTCTTGGCAGAATGGGGTTGGACTGGATTATGGCCCTTGAGGTCTCTTCCAACTCTAGGATTCTATCTTATATATATAAATTTCCTCCTGGCGTCGTATGAGGAAACAAAACTCTAAAACCCCCCAACGAAACTCCACCAAACTTCCCATGCCCCAAGGGCAACCAACAAGGTACAAACTAATCCAGTCAGAAATCAAAAACACACAACAACAACCACAATAAACGGCAAAGCAACTGAGCATGCGCACTGGCGCAAACTCCCTGGCGCGCGCACACACATGGCCCCTCACCCTCCCCCCCCCCCCCCGGCGCGGCACACACACGCGCGCGCGTGCGCCCCTTCACACCCCCCGCGCGGCATTAGATCCATAGAATAGAGTTGAAAGGGACAGTTGAGAAGTAATGAGAGAAGGAGGGAAAGAGAAGGAATGAAGGAGAGAAAGGGGGAAGGAAGGAGAAAAGGAAATACAGTTAAAGGAAACAGAAGGAAGGAGAGAAAGACAGGCGAAGGAGAGTTCAACATTCGCCTGTGACTAGCGCCACTTAATACAATTTTGAGAGACAGCTTTGTAGTGTCGCTGTGCGGCATACATGTACTTATTCGATAATAGAGGCTGTATCGAGGCCGAGGGGGGGCGGGGGGGGGCGGGGGGGGGCCCGGCTCCCCCTCCGCCTCTGCCGCCTCCTCCTCTGCAGGCAGACCCGGGAATCTCGCCCCTGCCACCGCCACCGCCGCGCCTGATGTCACCGGCCCCGCAGGTTGGTTGCGGGAGAGGCGCGCCATTCCCCACAGACACGCCGCCGCCAAAAAGGGGCCGGCCAAGCAGGACGCCCCGGTGAAGGAGGCCCACAACGTCGCCTTGCCAACTGGGATGCCCCCCCCCCGCCCGCCCACCCACCCTGCAACCCCCACCCTGCCTCGCCAAGGGGATCCGAGAGAGGGAGAAGGGGCGCGCCGGAGGCAGGGGTTTCCTACTGCCGCTGCTTCCAGACAGGGGTCTGCCCCGCTGTCATACCGGTTGTGGGTCCACCACCTGAGTCGGGAGCAACATCACGGTTGGGAAGGGGGAGGCAGAAACAGAAGGAAGGAGGGAGGGAGGGAGGGAGGGAGGGAGGGAAGGAAGGAAGGAAGGAAGGAAGGAAGGAAGGAAGGAAGGAAGGAAGGAGGAAGGAAGAAGAAACACAAGGAAAAAGGAAGGAGGGAAGGAAAGACAGAAGAAATAAAGGAAGGAAGGAAAGAAAAAAGGAAGGAAGGAAAGCAGAAAGGGAAGACTGAAATGGAAGGAAGGAAGGAAGGAAGGAAGGAAGGAAGGAAGGAAGGAAGGAAGGAAAGGACAATACATCTATCAGGCCATTGAGTTACCATCACTCATAAAAACACTGAAAAACACAGCAGACGAGACTTACAAACCCAAAAAACAAATCCACTACAATGCATGCACATAACCACATTGTTCCCCTGACATTAAGTCCAGTTGTGTCCGATTTGGGGGAGGGGGGGGTGTTGGTGCTCATCTCCATTTCTAAGCCCAACAGCCGGCGTTATCCATAGACACCTCCAAAGTCATGAGGCCTGCATGGAGCACCCTTACCTTCCCGCCAGAGAGGTACCTATTGATCTACTCACATTTTCAGGTTTTCAAATTCCTAGGTTGGCAGAAGCTGGGGCTAACAGCAGGAGCTCATGCCGCTCCCTGGATTCAAACCTCCAACCTTTCCGTTACCAAGTTTCACAGTTTAACCCACTGCGGGCTTCAGCATAACCACATGTGTATTTATGCATAAACACATACACACACACATATACACATATATACACACACAAAACACATACACAGAGATTGGGCCACAGCAACGCGTGGCAGGGGACAGCTAGTGATTCTATGAAAAGAGAAAATGCCTTTCCATTGTCGGAGGCTTTCATGGCCGGAATCACTGGGTTGCTGTGAGTTTTCTGGGCTGTATGGCCATCTTCCAGAAGCATTCTCCCCTGAGGTGTGAGTGTTTCAGCTGGCCACCTTAATTAGCATGTAATGGCCTAGCAGTTTCAAAGTCTGGCTTCTTACTGCCTTGGGGAACCCTTTGTTGATTAGCTGGCCCTGTATTGGTAGGTAGGTAGTCCCCTGACAATAAGTCCAGTCATGTCTGACTCTGGGGTGTGGTGCTCATCTCCATATCTAAGCCAAAGAGCCAGCGTTGTCCGTAGACACCTCCAAGGTCATGTGGCCGGCATGACTGCATGGAGCGCCGTTACCTTCACGCCGGAGCGGTACCTATTGATCTACTCACATTTGCATGTTTTCGAACTGCTAGGTTGGCAGAAGCTAGGGCTGACAGCGGAAGCTCACGCTGCTCCCCGGAATCGAACCTGCGACCTTTCGATCAACAAGCTCAGCAGCTCAGTGCTTTAACCCACTGTGCCACCGGGGGCTCTGTCCCTGTATTAAATCAGTATTAATCAGGCTACCAGTTAGGCTTGGTTGATCAAAACATGTTAAAAAAAGGTTCAAAACTTGTTTCGGATGTTGAAGGTTCGATTCTAAAGTCAATTCTGGTTTTCACAGAAAAAAATGTTCAAAACATGTCGAAACTTCCGAGACTTCCGAATCCTTTCGTTAATGGTTTGAAAGTGTTATTTCCTGTTTCATTGGGTGGTCTTTACTTTGAAAATAGTTGTTTTACTCCAGAAGTGGGGAAAGCAAGCGGAGGAAATTTCTTCCTTTTCTGGTTTCAAACTGGCTTCTCTGGCTTTAAAACTGGCTTCTCTGGCTTGAACCGAGGCCAGGAAATTCCTTCCTTCTCTGGTTTAAAACTGGCTTCTCTGGCTTGAGCTGAGGCCAGGAAATTCCTTCTTTTTCTGGTTTAAAACTGGCTTCTCTGGCTTGAGCTGAGGCCAGGAAATTCCTTCGTTTTCTGGTTTAAAACTGGCTTCTCTGGCTTGAGCTGAGGCCAGGAAATTCCTTCCTTCTCTGGTTTAAAACTGGCTTCTCTGGCTTTAAAACTGGCTTCTCTGGCTTGAGCTGAGGCCAGGAAATTCCCTCCTTCTCTGGTTTAAAACTGGCTTCTCTGGCTTTAAAACTGGCTTCTCTGGCTTGAGCTGAGGCCAGGAAATTCCCTCCTTCTCTGGTTTAAAACTGGCTTCTCTGGCTTTACAACTGGCTTCTCTGGCTTGAGCCGAGGCCAGGAAATTCCCTCCTTCTCTGGTTTAAAACTGGCTTCTCTGGCTTTAAAACTGGCTTCTCTGGCTTGAGCTGAGGCCAGGAAATTCCCTCCTTCTCTGGTTTAAAACTGGCTTCTCTGGCTTGAGCTGAGACCAGGAAATTCCCTCCTTCTCTGGTTTAAATCTGGCTTCTCTGGCTTTAAAACTGGCTTCTCTGGTTTGAGCTGAGGCAAGGAAATTCCCTCGTTCTCTGGTTTAAAACTGGCTTCTCTGGCTTTAAAACTGGCTTCTCTGACTTGAGCTGAGGCCAGGAAATTCCCTCCTTCTCTGGTTTAAAACTGGCTTCTCTGGCTTTAAAACTGGCTTCTCTGGCTTGAGCCGAGGCCAGGAAATTCCTTCCTTCTCTGGTTTAAAACTGGCTTCTCTGGCTTTAAAACTGGCTTCTCTGGCTTGAGCTGAGGCCAGGAAATTCCCTCCTTCTCTGGTTTAAAACTGGCTTCTCTGGCTTTAAAACTGGCTTCTCTGGCTTGAGCTGAGACCAGGAAATTCCCTCCTTCTCTGGTTTAAATCTGGCTTCTCTGGCTTTAAAACTGGCTTCTCTGGCTTGAGCCGAGGCCAGGAAAGTCCCTCCTTCTCTGGTTTAAAACTGGCTTCTCTGGCTTGAGCCGAGGCCAGGAAATTCCTTCCTTCTCTGGTTTAAAACTGGCTTCTCTGGCTTTAAAACTGGCTTCTCTGGCTTGAGCCGAGGCCAGGAAATTCCCTCCTTCTCTGGTTTAAAACTGGCTTCTCTGGCTTTAAAACTGGCTTCTCTGGCTTGAGCTGAGGCCAGGAAATTCCCTCCTTCTCTGGTTTAAAACTGGCTTCTCTGGCTTTAAAACTGGCTTCTCTGGCTTGAGCTGAGACCAGGAAATTCCCTCCTTCTCTGGTTTAAATCTGGCTTCTCTGGCTTTAAAACTGGCTTCTCTGGCTTGAGCTGAGGCCAGGAAATTCCCTCCTTCTCTGGTTTAAAACTGGCTTCTCTGGCTTTAAAACTGGCTTCTCTGGCTTGAGCTGAGGCCAGGAAATTCCCTCCTTCTCTGGTTTAAAACTGGCTTCTCTGGCTTTAAAACTGGCTTCTCTGACTTGAGCTGAGACCAGGAAATTCCCTCCTTCTCTGGTTTAAAACTGGCTTCTCTGGCTTTAAAACTGGCTTCTCTGGT